CTACTGAGCTGTGCTGCTTAGCTTGCAGCTGTCAAGTACCAGCTACCCGATTCTGGGAACAGGTACCCTCTGGGTGGGCATAACCCATCACCCCTTGTACAGGCTGCAGGCAAGAGCAGTGAGCAGTTGTCACCATCTCGCCTCCCTGCACCCCTCCCTGCAGCTCTCTGGATGTGTGGCTCTAGGACTCGAGACTCCTCAGTTATTCCTCATCACTTGTGCTGAGGGAGCAGTGCTGGCAGTAAGCACAAGAGGACAGCTGCTTCCTTGGCTTCTARGGACAGGAGGATGTGCAACTTGGCAGATACCCAGCAGAGTTCCAAGCCTCTCCTGCCACTTTGGCTGCTCTTAGTCAGGTCTTTATTTGCAASGGAGAGGAGAGATGTGGGATTTGTTCAGTAAGCAAGGCAAGAAGGTCTTAGGCAGCTTCTTGTACTAACAGTAGAGGGAATTTGTAGTTTCTTGACTGTTACAAACAGAAAATGTTATCAAAGGTGAAGTTCCTTTGGTGGATGCACCGATAATAAATACAGCCTTTTATGGTAAAGATAACAACATGCATTGGTGCTCACGAGATGCAAACTTCTGCCCATTAGTAGCTGTTTTAATGCTGTTAAAATGATCATCAGTCTATTGCTGATTTCTCTCCTTGGACAACACAGAGCACTGAGTTTTCACATTTCTGTTTTGGGGATTTTGTGTCCTTTGATATTGGTGAACATGATCACACTAAGTCTGAATAAACAACTTCCCTTCAATCCTCAGYGTTTTACCAGAAGAACTGTGTGGGAAAGCCGGTGTTTAATTTCTTTGTTTGAATCAATGTGCTGGTGTGAATTGCCTGTTACTGTGTAGCTGTGGACCATTATTTACTCCACAGTAAATCTTTCTCTTTTCCTCTGACAAAACAACAGGTATTGCATTCCTGCTGCGGAGGAGAACAAACTTGATGATGTGGTACATACCCTGCTGCAAGCCAATGGCACTCCAGGGCTGGAAATGCTTGAAAGTAATGTAATGGTAGGTTAACACTGGGAGAGGTGTTCCTATCTTAGAACCCGAGGCTAATCAGGAGGCTGCTTGGTTGGGGTAATATTTTGGTTTTGCCTTASACTACAGTCATGCAGAGGGGGCTACTTTCTGTTTGCAGTGTTCACCCACATGGTTTTTTTCAAACAWGGCTGTTTTTATGTGTTAATATAAAAACAAACATGACAGTGCAAAAAATGTCCTTTTTWAAATATGGTTTATAATGTATTTAACATCACAAAGGGAGTGAGATTTAATCAATTAATCTTCCATGACTGACATTTTATGATGCCAGCATGGATAGGAGAAGCCTAATTCTTGAGTATTTTTGGCTCCTTTGTTTATGTGGATAACAATTTCTATTTAGTGCATTTAAGTGTAAATTTGTGAGCCCGCAACAAAAAATTCTCCCTTGGCTGCCAGYGTTAACCTCTCACAGAAGTGCAGTAGCACAAGGGATTCAATGCCAAATCAGAAAAGATTGGATGGAAAGCTGAGTGAGCTGTGTTGCTTTCTGTAGCAGTGGACAGTGTTATGTCATTGGGCAAGAGAGTTTATAAACTGTTGGTTTGCAAAGAGCCACTTCTGCAGCTTCGACTCGGTTGGGCATGTGCGGAATGGGAGAGGGAAAGCGATCAGAGTGGAGCTGTTTTCAGAAAACAGCTTTGCTCCACTTGAATGTGGCAGCAGCCAGGCAGGAAGAGGATCAGAGAACTGTAAAAGAAAGCTCTTTTGATTGTTTCTCTTTTTTTTCTCCCTGTCTTTCTAGATCTCCCCAGAGATCTTGTGCAAGGAGGGGATCAGGGTGCACCGTACTGTACAGCAGAGCGGGCAGTTTGTTGTCTGTTTTCCTGGATCCTTTGTGTCCAAAGTGTGTTGTGGCTATAGTGTTTCCGAATCGGTGCACTTTGCTACCACCCAGTGGACAAGTATGGGCTTTAAAACAGCCAAGGTAAGTTGAGAACAGGAGTTAAAATGGATTCACGGCCCTGCCATCTAAAAGGACAGCAAAGCAGACATTCCAGGATTGATAGCACTGTGATACTAGTGCATCTACGTCTGTTTTTCTGGACTATTAAACAAAAAAAAAGGAAAAAGTTCTGCAAGGCATAAGACGATCCAGTGTTGTCAGAAAAGTGACTGAGTTGTTTACTGACACTTAAAGACTTCTGTATATATTAAAAAATTCAGAAGATTGTTATGCCTGCAGACCAGTTTGCAAGGAAGCTTTTCAAAAATCCCTTCAGTGCTAATGATTATACATTGTATTATGCTTATTATTTTTTTTTAGATGATGTTTTCTAGAACCATTAGAATCTCAGGTGCAAATATCTGAATAACTGTGCTTGTTAGCTCCTATGATAGGCAGAGTCAGTTAATACTCACAGCTGTATTGCTTGTTTTTCTCTGCCCCTTCATTCAGGAAAAGCTGTTGATCAGGGCAATTTCAATTTTAATCGACTTGAAAATCCTTAGGTTCACTGACCAGCCCATCCAATACTAGATGTAAATAATTAACTTTCCTATTCCCTTTGCACACAACTGACCGAGGCAGGTTGCCTGCAGAAACAGGTGAATTGTCCAGTCATCATGATTCTGGCTACATTTCTCTGTTCCTGGACAAAGAATATACATCACTAATTGTGTTCCCAACCTTCTGAAGTACACTCTGGGTTACAGATACTATTTTGGTAGTGTTTTATAGCTAAGCCACTAGTAAATTATCCTTTACAGCTTCAGACCAAGTGGTTACTAAGTAATTAAATGTACTATGTCCACAGTTAGGGGTTGCTTCTTTAGGGTAAATGGAATTCTTCCAGCCTGGTTATACTAACTGTATATTAACTTAGTTTGAAATAAAAGGTTATTTTATTATATATTTATTTTGGGGGAAGGTGGGAATTGTGTATATCTATAAGTAAGACATAAGAATCCTGAGCTAAYCTTTCCTGTCTGAACGTTCATGATTATATTAACTCCATATGCTGTATTTATTGCTCTACTGAACACTTGTTTGGTATCGTGAAAATGCTACTCCTGTAAGAGACAGAAATCACTATGCAGCAATTAAACAGCTCTTGGTGCCTCAAATTTTGAAGAACAGTTTCTTTTGATTAATTTTTAAGAGCTTTGCGCTGGGTAAATACAAGCTGACTGAAAATCCAGCAGATTGCAGTCTGTGATAACCTACCTTGGAAACTGAAGTCACAGCTCCYACAAACTTGACAAGAACCACAGATAACGTGTTTATATCAAAACAASTTTTGAAACACCCATTGTGTTGTTCTTTTCTCTTTTTCCCCCCCTCCCCTTTCTTTTCTCAAACTGTCTTACGTTCTTTATTCCCTTTAATTTTGGAAATTGTTTGGTTCCTCCACTTTGACAAGACTCTTTGCCACAAGGCTGGCCAGGATTGTGCTTTCCAGAGGTGGTGAGATGTTCTGTGTAAAGGACAAGATTCCCCTTTTGGACTGTTAAATGAACTCTGATAAACAACTGTACCTTCTGTCTGTTCATTCTCCACAGCAATACTGACAGTTTTTAGCGTTTGATAAATTAACTTTGTTTTCATCCTGTGATACTGTGACCTGATTTTTTTAATAGTGACTCTCTTTATATTACTAAAATGATGTGGTTTAATTTCTGTATTGAATGACTGATCAATCTCCTTTAATACATAGAAAAATGAAATTCTGCATCCGAAATTGCATTGATTTCAGTCTTACAAGCACTTCAGAAAAATTGTTGGAATAAAAGAGCTTATATATAAACACCTGTGTAAAGGGACAGTCAGGTTTAAACTAGACCATACTTGGAACAAGGTTGCTGTTTTTTAAAAAGCACCCTAAGARCTCCTAAAACTTTAAGCTAAGAATGAGAAGGAGATTTAGAGCTGTGGTGGAAGAGTGTGTGTTTGGAGTGGCAAAGGGATAACTCCATAGCTTCAAATAAGGCATTGAGCAAAGTCAGTAAAACTCATTTAGGAAACTGAAGTACAGAATGTGGGACTAAATGAAGGCACTCTGTGTTAGAGATTTGGAAAAAGGAAGGAATGCCTGGTTTTAAAGGAGGGCTTCAGTGCTATAGGGCCTACCAGAAAGTTAGTGGGAAGAGACTCAGATGGTACTGTAAAACAAGAGGAAAAAGTACATAGGAAAGATGGAATTGGTCTTGAGTTGGAGCAGCACTGCTGCACACACACGAGAGGTTACAGTCCATAAAGCAGGTTTAAATCTGTCACCAGGGACAAAATCTGTGTGTGCTGATCTCCTCAACAGGAAAATTGTGGTATTAGCACAGTACTCCTGACAGTCCAGGGAAGATGCTGRCAGGGGCTGGACAGGTATTTCCCCCACCTCATTGTAGTTTGGGTGAGGAACATGCCTTTAAAATGYCACAGGATTCCCACTCCTTGGCTCCTGTCACAGAGCTGTCCCACCCTGAGCAAGGGCTCCTTCAGATCAAACCAAAGGGRAAAGGGTCCTACGAAAGTGCACCCGATGTCCTCACTAGCAAAGAGGTGTTCTRTGATGGAGAGTGGAGATTAAGAACCTTGGAAGAGCAGTAAAATGCAAAATAACACTGCTGTGATGTTTGAAAAGATGACCTCACATAAACCCAAAGGAAGCTGGTTAAATTGAGTACAGAAAGAAGGGTTCTTTGCATGCAGCAAAGAAATTGCTTAAAGATGCCCTGTTAGAGGCTCACAATGCATGYACATTGCTTAGCCAGAAATCCCCAAAAATAGCAATTTCAAATGGCAACCCCCCACTAAATATAGCACACTTAAAYACCAGGAAAAAGGAGTCTGAAATGAGACCAAAAAATACGTTTTGTGTCCAGAAGATGAAAATGCAAATGAAGCAAGATGTGTGCAAATACACAGAAATGCAGACCAAAAAGATGTTTCAGAGAACAACTTTCTGAAGGCCAAGAGGAAATAATAAATGTACAAAAGAATGAGAACAGGACAAGCACCGTGGTGACTTCTGCAGCAAGATCATGGCCTCCAGACCTTGAAACTTTTGGGCGTAAGGAGAAGAGTTGCAGCTGACAGTGTCTGTGAGCTGTTTTGAAGAAAAGGCTCTTAAATAAATTGAGAAGTGAAGTTCACACACCAAAAACATAACTGAGAAGCAGAGGCTAGGTCAGTTTTCATYGTGAAGAGAGGATGTCTTTTTCCTGCATTCCCCAGGAGTTTGCACTAGCACAGTTTAATGTATCCATAAATAACCTAGAAAGGGAAGTTAATACCAAAACTAACCCTTTATGCAGAGAATATTAATGGTAATGGCAGCAAAAATTAAAGCTATGAAATGTTWCAGGAAGATTTCATGATACTGAGTGATCCAAGTGAGAAAATGGTAGATAAACTTCAGTGTTGATAAATGTTAAATTTAAAATCATAATCCTTATTTGTCAGACACAGAGATGGGCTCTGAATGATGGCCTCTTGCTACTGAAAAGAGAGGCCTTGGATTCCTGTGGAGCTGTCAATCAAGTGCTCTGGAATGGCATAACAAAATACATTGAACGTTAAGAATTACAAGGAGAGAATAGATAACAAAGCAGAAACCCTGCTCTGGCACTGTGTAGTCTCGGTGGTTTGGGCAATTCTGAGTCCCTAACTGCAGAAGGAGTATAGAGGAGTTAGAAAAAGCACAACAGAGATCAGTGGTTAAAGTTATTAATTAGCCTCTGCATTAAATACAAGAGAACTACTCAGCCTGGAAAATGAATGACCAAGAGATGTATGAGAGCAAGAGATCACAAGTGCCAGGCTGATGATAATTATGATAGGAATGTTCACTGACTCTCATGACACTGAAAAATGTGTCACTAAAAGAAATAATTAGGCAGCAGTATAAGTAAAATACTTACCTTTGTATTTCAGTACTGTGTAGAAGAGAAAATTGTACATAGATTCAGAAATTCAGATAAATGTAGAGATAAGCAAGTTGTGGTAAATCCAGCTCGGGCTCAGGGTGTCCCTGAGCTGTCACCCAGCTGGGGCCGACCTTTGTTTTCTTTTCCAGCTACCCACTGCAGCCTTTTATGCTGGGTGTGTGTTGCCTGGGCAGGATTTTTCTCTGGATTGAGTCTGTTCTTGTGTACACAGCCTCAGAGTAAGCAAACCTAACAGGGAAAAATCTTCCCATGCCCCTACTAACAGTGCAGCTGTTCCAACCCCGTGCAGGGTCTAGCAGAGCAAATAGCTTCTGAAGAACACTTTTCTTACCTCTGAACCTCTCTGGAACCCCTTCTGGTCAGCAAARGCTGCTGTTCCATTGTATGTGATAGGTACCACTTGGAATGCATGCAATAGGTGCTATTAAAAATTACAAATTTTACATATTTGTTGAGCAAAAAAGAAATACCCAGCACATTTAATTAGGGTAACAGAAGAGGATGAAAAACATCAAGGTAAAAAGAAAATCTTAGGGGTTGTGTGTGCTGAATAGGTATTTGGCAGATTTAAGCACTAACCAGAAATGTCAGCCTCAYATTACAGTCCAGTGTTAGCATCATTTGAACTGTCTGATTATACATAAGCCAAAACAGACCTCTGCAGGTGCTGGGAAAATGCACATTAAATCAAGGAATTTGCCTACCCAAGAATTACCAAAAGGGTTTCAGCTACCAAAATCACTCAATTGTATTGAGYGAAAAACATAACTTTAAAAGCTTTGTCACAGGGAGGAACCAGTAACAGGGAAAACTGAACCCCCCCTTTTTTGCCTGTTGTCTCTTTTCCCTGGCATCTACCTGTTCTGCTAGCTGTTAAAAGCTGCAAAATAACACCAGTCCTGGGTTTCATGCAGGTCATAGGAATAGATCTTACACTGCTGGCACTCTGAGCCATCCCATATTACTGAGCTTCACTGATGATGTTGCTCTTCTTGGCCTCCACAAGAAAAGATTAATTTTTAGGGAGAGAATTTTGAGGTGCTTGGAACATAAACACTTTATTGGGACTATGCAAAGATTTTACTTGTGGTTGTTTTAAAAGGCCATTTTTGGCCTTATTAATTAACTTTGAATTAATTCTTGATAACATTTTATTTTCAAATATGCTCGGGAACTAATGTGGCAATTTCCTTCTGTCCCAGGAGATGAAGCGGCGCCGTATAGCCAAACCATTTTCAATGGAAAAGTTGCTTTATCAGATTGCAACTGCAGAAGCAAAAAAAGAAAATGGACCGACTCTGAGTACAATATCATCGCTCCTGGGAGAGCTCAGGTAATGAATTGGGGGCCTCCTGTCCCTCCTTTGTTTTCATTGACAGACTCCAGAGGTGCATGGCGTAAGTAACCCTTTCAGACACACCCTGCCCCTACTTACCCACGCAAAAGCTCAGCAAATTTACCTGAACACAGGCACACATGGAAGAAGCAGCTTCCTTGGCTGTAGCTGATGTGAGAGTTGCCATGGTTAGGATATCTTACTCTAAGAATTCCCTACTTCGGGCACCATCAAAGAATTAAAACCATGGTTTGCATTGGGTTTTTATTTTGTTAAATCTTGGTGCTGAGTAAAGATTTCCTGATGCATTATGTGAACTACATGGTGCCACTTGGTCAAACACCTTTCCTTGAGATTTTCAACCTGTTGGCATCAGTGGTCACTGTCATCCACGTCTGTARTGGGTTTTGCATTAGGAACCCTTGTCTTCAACATCAAGATTGYTACACTACAGGTGCAGAAGGTCCGTTGTACACAGAGAGTTGTCTTGGTTTAAACCAGTGAGTAAATGAACAGTTGTGCATGCGTGGTAACACATGTGGCRTTAGAACTCCTAYRTTTTAGAGAGTAAAAACTTCAYAGTCCTTTTCCTCTCCAGTATTAASGACACAYATTCAGGATTTTTAAGACAGRTTAGAAAAGAAAATACAATGTTGCCTGGCTTCCTGTGTAATGATCTTCTCTTTTGTTCYCTACTATGTAGTTGCTACCTATCTTTCAAGTTTGTGACAACTGATACTCGAGATGTCAAGAAAGTTTTGATGAATGGAGCCTACAAACTGTATTTAACTAATTAGCATGTTCATTTGGAAAGTTTCCAGTGACATATTGAAGGAGAAAACAGCCCATGTGTTGTTTTAGTGTTCAGAAAGAAATGCAAAGAGGTGTGCTGACTGCTATACCTGCAGCTGGTTTCTCTGGGGAATAACCACTTTCAAGTGCCTTTTTTTTCCCCTTGAAGAGGAAGCCTGCAAGTACAAAAGGCGAATTAAACCATCACATYGACCTCTATCAGAGTGGTTCTCAAACTTGTTCTTATGCATAGGTTGGAATTCACTGGAGGATATCGATCCTTCCTGTGGCTGCTTATAGGAAACAAAAGCCCAAACAACAAAATCTAAAAAAAAAGAAAAAAAGCCGCCTGAAGTGGAACACTGAATCATATCTTTTTCCTTTGTTTTGTTTAGCTTGTTGTGTCTCTTGCTGCCTCTTCTCCTGATCTGCCTTGGTTGCTCAGTTTGCCCGTGCCATTTGCTTAGCTTGGCTCTCCACCCCTCTTCAGCTGTGTCTGGTGGTGCACTTTTTTATCCTCCCCTTCCATCTGCTCGGCTCACTCACACTTGCTGTCTTCCACTCAGCTCCARCCCATCCTGCTCTCCTGAAGCTGCAGAGTTCAGCACAGGAGGTATTGTCCGCCGTTGAGAGGCCGCGGGTGAAGGGCGGCCAGAGGGCTTGGTGGTTGTTCTTAATTGACGTCTCCTTCTTTCTCCCTGGGTGCGCAGCAAGATCTTCGTCTTTTGGCACAATCACTTGCCCTGCTCCCCCTTTCCTGCCTGAAGCAACTCATGGCAGCAGGTTCTTGGTTCATCTCTGCCTCCGGATGAAGGGGCTGTTACTCCTGACAGCAATGGCTCCTCTTCCTCAAGGTGGCTTTTGGCAACTTCAGGAATGATAGTCATGTCAGCCACAGCTCCTGACTCCACATGGCCCGAGCAACCATCGACCTCCAGGAAGCTCTCGGCAGTCCCCAGTTYTCTGTGGAGCAGTTTGAGAACCACTGGCTTGATACAGTGATCGCTGTTAAAATCCGGAGATAGCTTTTGCAATTAGGCAGCGTTTCCCCAGTGCTGGCCATGTCTGCCATGCTTAGGGAATGGCACCAACCTCCGACAACACTCGGGGCTTTGCTGTGTGGAGCTCAGGTTTCAGTGATGAGCGCGGTAGAGGGGTGACTGTGTGTGGCTCTGCGGTGGCAGGAGGCAGTGCCTGTGTCTAATTGTCCCCCCGTTCACAGGGACACGGAGCTGAAGCAGCGGCGGCAGCTGTACGAGGCCGGGCTCCACTCCTCGGCGCGCTACGGCAGCCACGACAGCAGCAGCACCGGCGTGGATGGCAAGAAAAAGCCTCGAAAGTGGTTGCAGTTAGAAACATCAGAGAGGAGGTGTCAGATTTGTCAGCACCTGTGCTATCTTTCCATGGTGGGTAGCARTCCTTTGCCACTCCTCGGGTACTGTCCCCCCCGTTCTAACATTCCAGTGATCTACAGGCATTTGAGAGACAGCACAGGGATATGGAGTCATCTCCTGTACTCCATGCAAGGCACAGAGGTGTCCGTGTAGTTTGTCAGAACGTTTACTGCCTTGGTCRGTGGTGACAGAAGACAAGTGTCAGCTGTCTTCCCACCCTGCCAGAAGGGATGAAGCAGGAACTCAGCTGCCCTCAGACACGCAGTGAGGTGTTTGGATTGCATGAGGAGGGCTAACAAAGATGCCTGTAGGTTGCCAGCAGCAGCCAGRATGAGCTACAGCTCAGACACGTGCCCCAAGTCTCAGGCATGCAGCCACAGCCCGTGCTGAGACAATGTCCCTGCAAGCCAGATTGCAGGGGAGATTTATCCCATCCATCAAGCTCTTTGCCAACCTGTCCCTGCAATCCCATAAACTTTCTCTCCTTTTAGACAGAATTGCCTACTGGCTTCTGAAGGTGTGCTGACCACTGTGATGACACTTCCAGGMTTTGAGCTGTATGCAGAATACCTACAAACACAGCAATTTCATTAAAAATACCAAAACCCCCTTCTATAACATTATATAGCATTTAATCCCAAGAATAGGTATTTAAATATAATGCAGTGCGTTTGGTTTGGGAGAGCTTACTTCTGTCATCCTTTTGGGATTTTTTTTKGTAGTAGTTAGGTTTTTAAATGAAATAAAATGTAACTAAATGATCARATGTAGCCATTTTCCTCCCTAGGATAAAATRTGCTGAGTTTATAYATGTCKTTTGACCACTGTTTAAGTAGCATTRAAGTAACTTTAAAATGAGTTTATTTGAAAAAAACCCAAAACACCAACCAGAACTCTAAATTCTGATCCATTTGCTCTGGAGTAAATGTAATAATGAGTAGGATTTTTCCCTGTCACTCTTTTAACAGTAGATGGGGATAAAAAACACCAACTTGGTTGTTAAATTCCARGCTGAGTGTGCAGGCCTGGCAGGCAGCCAACTGAGCAAATGTGACCTCTGCTGAATAAGACAGTAGCTGAGGAATCCTGTGGCTAAGCTGATTTCATCCTTGTTCAAGGCAGCATTTTAASTAATGAGAAACTACTCCTTTCAGAAGATCTTTTAAACTCCATAGGAGATGCCAATGAATGTGTACAGTTTGGATTTAACACTCACTGTTATTGGTGGGTTTTTGGKTTTTTTTTGTTTGTTGGGGTTTTTTGAAATTATATGTATCTGCCAACATTAGCACTGAAAAAGAAATGTCTTTTCTTATTACACATCCTGAATCATTGCAGTGTGATGCGTCTTCCACTAACTTGGAGTAAAATCCAGGTGTACAATTCAGGCTACAGTTGAATACTTGTGTGGGGAACAAGGCTACAGTTTGGACTTAACTGCACTTCCTCCCCCCACCTCTACTCTTYTATGTAGGTTGTACAGGAGAATGAAAATGTTGTGTTCTGCCTGGAGTGTGCCCTGCGGCACGTGGAGAAGCAGAAGTCGTGTCGGGGATTGAAGATGATGTACCGTTATGATGAGGTGAGCGTGACACCGCCCCCGGTGCTGGGGGRATTTGGTACCCAACACTTGGGAATAGACTTCAGTCTGCCTTTGTCCTACTGAGGCCTCAAGAAAATGGTCTTGGGTTTGGGGTTTTGTTTTGGTTTTGATGTGGGAAGAATGTGCTTTATTATGATTTAAGTAAAAAAAAAGGGGGAAACATGATGACACAGATGAAACCTGAAACATAAACTGCGTGAACATGTGCCACAGAATAGAGAAGCCACTCAAGGCTTTCAGATGAAACATGAGGCTTTTCTTTCACTGGTTATGTTATGGTAACTTCGGTACTTTGGGATACCTTCTCTCTGTTGGTAACTGGAAGTTCAGCTGACCTATTGCAGCCCTTTAAGGCAGATGAGCATCCTTTAAGGCAGACTTGCAGAGCACGTGTAGATGAGAGATGCAGTAATGGCTCCAAGCAAATTTGACAGTGAATAAGCCCAGAACTCAAGCTGGTGATTTAGGACTSTGCCTGGGTTCTGGGCTGAGGCTCCACCTGTGAGGGGACTTGGCCCCAAAGGTAAATAGCAGAGCAGTGGGAGAAATGACCACATCAGCTCTTGGAGAGCAGCACTGGTACAAGCAGCTTTCTAAAATGGGCTACCCAGCATTTCTGAGCACCACACTGCTGTTCTGTTTAAGTGACTCTGCAGGAAGAGCAGATGCTAATTTGTGTTTTGGTTTTCCCACTTCCTGAACAGGAACAAATAATCAGTCTTGTCAATCAAATCTGTGGAAAAGTATCTGGTAAAAATGGCAGCATTGAGAACTGTATCAGCAAGCCTACACCAAAAAGAGGACCTCGTAAGAGAGCGACAGTGGACGTGCCATCATCTAGGCTTTCATCCTCCAGTTCATCCAAAAGTGCTTCAAGTTAATCCTGAAGATGCCAACACTCTCATTTTGTCAATTTATATATATTTTTTGTAATTATTATACCATAGTTTGGAGTACTTGCTGTAGAATACAAGCTGTCTTTGCACTAGCTCTAAAGAAGATTTTCTTCTGGTTTTAGAGAACTAATTTTGTTTTAGCATTAAACTGTTGAATTTTTTTTTTTTTTTGTACTTAGAATAGATAGATACAGCAGTCTGATTTTTTTAAACTGCCGTATGTTCACTGTTTTAAAACCGGCAAGGGGCTGATAAAATATTAATTTGTATTGTCCCTATGGCTGAAAAAAAAAAAAAGCCTTTTTGGTAACTGTGAAAAAAGGCTTTTAACCCATTTTTTGAATAGGTTAAAGTTTGATGTGTTTTATAATTTGTTCTCCAGTCATGTGAGCAGATTTTTCTAGAGAGAAAAGGGATAGGAGACAAAAACTTGAAAGAAATTGCTTTACTTTGGCTGTCTTTTATTCTGTCACAGCAAGACGAGTTTTGTAATTTTTTAAATTGGAGAATACACACTTTCTTTGGGAGGTTATGGCAGCTGAAGCTGGACTTTGTTTCCTAACTGTAGGCAAAAGGAGGAGATTTGGAGTATGTTCTCTTTTACCAGCACATCACTATGCATCTGTTTTGAGGGGGAAAAATAAAAACAAAAAAAAAAAAAAAAAAAAAAAAAAATAAAAAAAAAAAAAAAAAAAAAGAAAAAAAAAAAAAAGAGGAAAAAAGACTGCCTGCCTTGAGGAGTCACATGAGGGAAAACTGTGCCTGATTTCATTAGGAAATCCATTCTGTTATTTTTTGGTGCTGTTGGCTACTTTATCAAAAACCCTTCAATAGCACCTTAAAAAAAAAAAAAAAAAGAAAAAAGTGATTGAAGCCATAAGTGCTTCTTTTGTCATAGACGTGCAATCTTTCTAACATTCCATTTCCATTCCACTGCTGTTTTTCACACCTTTACACAGTGAAGCATTAATTTTTGTTTGGAATTTGTTTCATTATATGATCACATTTAGAGCCACTAGCAAGTCTGCATATTTCTTTTGAATGTGAAAATGCATTTGCTTTCATCTTGTCTATTTTTTCTCTTCATGTTGTAACGAAAGAAAAATCACACCTTTTGTACATATGCCTGTAAATTTTTTTAAATACTTGAGCCTTTTCTTGGGGTGGGGGGAGGGATGGCAAAGAGACAAGATGAAGAAAAGCCTTACGTTTCACTTTCTTCATCGGTTGGATTGGATGCTTACAGGGTTTTTCTTGTAACATTTATAAGTGCTGCTTACATCACTGAAAAACAACAAAAAATAATAATAATCGAGTAGCTGTTGCCCTTTTCTGGTTGTGTGTACAGTATGTGTGGAATAAAAAAGGGAAAATGTTTTCACAAACTGTTTTGTTTCGTAATTGAATTCAACAATACCGTAGCTACCCATATTGCACTGAGCTTGCCAGTGGTGACTGTCAGGAAAGTCCTATAATACAATTTGTTGGTTGTTGTTGCAGAAGACTGAACTGTTTTGGAATATTTAACAATAACATAAACAGAGTCAAGTGTTTTCAAATGTGGTTGTCTGGTTTTTATGGCCTTGCTGTGTACTTTTCCCTCTTGACAGTAAACTTCTGACTATGGCTTACAGTTTGACATTTAATTTATTAGCGCTGCTCTGCTCTCTTTCCTTGTAAGGAAAGACTTCATGTTGTTTATTGCCAGTTTTTTGTTTACTTTCCAGGTTTGTACTACAAGGTTTAATAAAAAAAACAAAACTTTTTTGGACATTTTGTCTGTCTTCTGGAAAGCAAAAGAGTAAAGGAAGCTCCTTCAAGAAAAATTTGTTTGAACAGCTGCCTTGTTGAAGAGTAAATTTTTAATTGTAGGTAGGGAGCTTCCAGCCTTCAGTTCCCAGACAGGGGTCAGGAAACACTTTTGTCAGCTAACAGGAGAATCCCTAAGGAAACTGGCCACTTCCCAGCTGGTGAGCAGCAGGAGATGCYTCATTCCCAACCATTGTCTTTGTCAGGGCAGGTCTTTGGAAGGGATCTACACCACAGCTCATCCTTTTACTTACGCTCTTTCTGATTACATTCCCTCCCTCCATGCAGGAAGAGCAGGAGCCAGGAGCCTTCTCAAAGGAGAGCAGATCCCTGCAAACAGAGCATGAGACTTGACAAGCAACAGGTGTTAGACATGGTCAGACCTCAAATTCAGAAATGACTGCAGAAAAAACAGCAATGATGATGCCTATAGGTCCTGAGGTTTCTACAATACACACAATTAATAATTACCTCAGGTTTATCTCCCTTGCACTGCTGGCCTGCATCAGTATAGTCAAACAGATGTTACCATGGAAAAGCACATTACAGTGGTGCTCCTAAAAAGCTTTTTTTTGTCTGAGTTAGGTTCCACTGTTCACTTCTCAGATAAAATACCTGGGTAATCAAGTAAAAGACATAGTTGGGATAGAAATACTTTATTTTATCTCGAAAGAGGAGTAAGTTTACACAATGCTAAGATACCTGCTCCACAAGGAGTGTAACATTTCCATATGCATCTTTCCTCCTTCTCGGGTTCTTATTTTTTCCTTAACACCTATAACTAAGTTGGTCCTGAAKAAGAAGTGTGAGAACAGTAGACACTGCTGCATTAGTAGACAAAAGGCAGGAGGCAGACAGTAGGTAGTAAAGAGTAGAAAATAACTTTCCATTTTGGTTTGGATCCTAAATCTTCAGTTGCAGCAGCTGAAAACATGCAAGGAACAATTTGGGTTCAGTATTACACATCAACTCTTAAGTACTTCCAATCAGCCATTTAAAGGTTAATGGTCAAAGGAACTTCTACCTTTCCCCTTAATTCTCTTATACATAGTATATACAACAGTTTTACTGCTCCCCTGAGCCCCAAGACTATGTTAAAGTGTGTGTGCTTTAGGCATAATTTTTTCTTTAAAAACCAACCTCCACRTGACTGGCAATTCTGTAAAAAGGCAGTATTACGAAGTAAAAAGATCTGGCTGTTATGCTTGGTTAGCAAATTGTTACACAGGCAAGCTCTTCATTCACTTGTTCATTCATTCAGAAGTCATTCTTAAAGGATATGGTTTTAAGATTCAAATATTTTGAGAGTCACTTTCATCACTGCCATCTGAAGCACCCTTTCTCTCAGTTAAAGCAGCTAGGGCAGTGTCCACTTGAACTTCCTCTTCGTCAGACTGGACAACGGGGGAYTCTCCTTCGCTCGCGTCCTGGCTGGCGGAGTCGGTGCAGGTGGAAGACAAGGAACAGAGCTTCTGCCGTAACTCGGACTGGCTCGGCACCTGCAGACTGATCTCGTTCACGTACGTGCTGGAGTCAGGCCCTGAGAGTTGGGGAAACAACAACAGCAAAAGTCAAGCTGTGGCTCAGCAAGGGGACTGAGAAGTCAATACATTAACGTCAGCTCTGCACTCTTTTAGGGAGTTGCTGTCGGGCTGTTTTCCTTCTTTGCAAGGCAGCRAGAGAAAAATCCGCCCAGCAAACTCAGTGCAACAGAGTCCCACACAAAAAAATGGGAAATTTAATACCAAACAAACAACTAGGAAGCAGTTAATAATAGTCATCTCCAGTTTTGACTTAAAATGAAGGTGTAAAAGCAAAACAAATTCTTGCCCACAGCATGAAAGCAATCCTCTGGTTAGAGCTGCACCACAGCTCAAGTGCACAGGAGTGGGGTTTTAAGACTGCTTCCTCCATATTCTGTACAAAAAACTTGTAAGCAAGTTCAGTGTAACAGTGCTTGCTTGCAGTTYGAGAGTTCAGGTTTCAAAATTAGATCCTTTTACCTGACAGCAAATAACTTAAAGCGAGGAACGATCAAAACATTTTCTATGTGATCTGCCAAATAAAGCCCCCTTTTCCTTCTCTCCTGTGTCTATCAAGTGTTTTTCCATAGTCAGGGCACCAAGCTTCAGCCCTGAGTAACTTCAGTGAGAAAATTCTCTTAAAATCCTGTGGGATTTTATTATAAAGTGTTTCAGAAGGGTCAGATGAATAAGAGCAACACCTTACCTCTGCTCGGATTGTTTGCAGAGCAGTTCAAATTATATTGCCTATGACTGGTTCCCATGTACTTCAGTTAAATTTTAACACTAGAGATTTTAGAGAACCTGCCTTTATGTRTTCTACACCAGCACGCATTCAGATTAATTTACACAACACAGAGAGGACTGAGTTTTCAGGAGTGACAGAGCTAACTCAATTTTGCAGTTTAACTTACTGTCATGAAATGTTGCAGAGCCAGTGCCCACAAGCTGGCAATGTTTGTAGAAGACAAATYTGAAAACATTTCAATGTTTTGAGCTGATTCTCATTTTTAACAGTTATTAAAACAACTTACCTGCATTTTGTGGCATTCAGCATATTTGTCAAACAAACCTTGCCCTGACAACCCAGTTCTCCACTGACAGCAAAATGAAGAGTTACCATTAAGCCATCTCATTTTTCTGAGTGAAAACTATTGCATACCTAGTTTGATACTGAGATAGCAGTACAAAGCAAGCACAAAAATCCCATAATCAGAGGTAAATGAATGGTCTGGAACCACAAGAGCAACATTCAGGGGACTCTTACAATGCAGTAAGGCTGCACTGCTGGAACATTACAGCATGGGTACATTACACTGCAGTGTTATTTGCATGTACAGACACTATGCTGTAATGTTTATATTACAGCACAAAATCAAGAATGTATTTTTTTCRAAAGCTAATACATTTTGTCTGCTTAGTTAAAAAAAAGTAGTTTCTGCACTTCCTTAGATAATCCAGCTAAGACTGTTTGCTGTTAAGACGTGAACCTTCTTGGTTCAACATCTGCCAATCAACCAGCAAGGGGACAACAGTCCTAGATTCTGTAATTACTGGCATGCTCAAATGATGATCARCTTTAATAATGCATGAAGTGGATGCCTATCCAAAACCACCCATCTGAATTCAGTTTTTCCAAGGAAGCACAAAAATCTTTAGTAGCCAAGTGTGCCTTGACCATTTACAATAAGCTYTTCATGTTCACAGCAGGTGTTAATCACCTTTACATAGGGAGAATTTTAAGTACTTCCACAAAAATATTTCAATCTGTATTTTCAAAAGAAATCACAAAGACCTTTAAAGGAGCTTCATCTGCCTCAAGAAAAATCATTTTGGCTCTTTTCAGGAGAGGCATTTTAGTACTGAAGTTTTTAGCTAGGAAAACACTTCCATGGTAGATAGAAGATCCAGTACTGGAACACTTATTCTCTGTGTATATGTAAACTACTGGGTTGAACTGTATCTCTCAGTATTTCTCACTGAAGATCTGACAATATCCAACATTATYCAAATTTGCCAAGCAACATTCTGGACAAACTCAAAGCAAGCAGTCTTAAAAGTWAAAACCTAATTACTGCAAGCTTTCTGTTGATGTTTGTTAAAACATCCTCCGTTAACCCTACATTGGGAAAAAAGCACCTCAAGCCAGTATGGAGCACATCACCTGCCCAGACTGATGAATACAACAGGGAGTAAGAAAAATGAGATTG